ACTAACGATTGATGTGAGAGGCTCGATTGATGCCACAGTCAAAGAAAATCGACGAACAGACAAAGATCCAAAGACGGGGAAAGAAAAGGAACGAGAAAAAAAAACAATTTCACAACAACACTATTAAAATGAGAGTGACCAAAGCATAAAAAAAAGAATGAAAAAAAAGAAACAGAAACAGAATTTGCACTCACTGAATTCGGCGGATTTGCGCGCGCATTGCAACGACGGGATTTATGTGTGTGCTGTGTTTGACCAGACCGAGAGAGATAATCAGAATCAGTAGCATTTCCTCGTGACCAATATTCAAAAGGAAGCAAACCAACCGCGACAAAAAAAAAAACGTTTGCCATGGCAATGATGCTTCAAAGATTTCGCTTCTTGGCAATACAAAATTTAGATTTGCATAAAAAGTGAAGAACACTTTTTTTTTCTAAAATAAGCAAAACTACTCGTCGGGTCTCTTTCTAAAAGAGACGAATGAGTGAAAAAAAAACAAAGACCAATTTAATTAGAATAAACGAGTGAATGAATATCACTTCTGGGAATTTTTTTTTACACAATTATCAACAGGAAAAAATTATTTTTGTGAAAAAAAATCTCGTTTTTTTTCGCAATACTACGAAGACCAGTATTCAAAAGCGGAAAAAGACAAATGTTATAAGAATTGAGAGCGATATACAATTATTTACACACGCTGAGAGAGAGAAAGGGCATTTAAAGAGGATGCAATGGGCATTAACCGAGAGAAGAAAAAAAACTAACGATATATTGAAAATAAACAAAAATGATAATAATGGAGGCCAATGGTGATGAAGCCTATAACTAAATGGACGTGGAATTGATTTTATTCGTACTCGTGATTGAACATTGTTCCTGTTGTGCGTTGCCGAGAGAGAGTGAGAGAGAGAGAGAGAGAGAAAGATCGAGTTGTATATTATTGTATTTGGTGCGGCCTGAACAGCGTCTAGCATGCATGGTCTAGGATTGTGCATCGCTTTTTGCCTAGTCAATTCAGATTCAACGGCGGCATCGACTGCGGCAGCAACGGCGGCTGCAATCTTCATTTGAAATTCCAACGATTTCATTACACACTCACTCGCTATTAGCATTTGATGTGTTTTGAGTGTACGGAGAGAGAGAGAGAGAGAGAGACTACACAAAATTGCGCGCGGAATGAGAGACGTTTGTTTGCTCTGTGGTGCACTCGGCCTCTTTCGCCGAAGGATGGAGTGAGAAAGGGAGAGAAATCAAAGAAAGGGATCAGATAAAAATTAGCAAACTTAATGAAGTCGAAATTTATTTCACGTCCCGTTCCGTTCCATTCCGACCTGCTCCTATCCACCGTAGTAGTCATCGTTGTCGTTGTTGCAGCTCATTTTCTTGATTTTGTTTTGTGCATCTCCTTCATCATTAGGCACATTTTGCGAATGAACGTGTGTGTGCGCGAGCGCGAGCGCGATCGCTTCGCGCTCCCATATTCGTTCGCTCGCCACCGATGTTTGCCCATTTAAATGCATACACATTATTCACATCATTATTGCTGTATCTGCGGTTAATTCAATTGAATAAAATGAAATGAAATGAGAATGAATAAAAAATTACAACGAACAGAAGAAAAAACACACACACACACACACATAACAGCAATATACTCGCGAGCAAAACATACACACTCGAATAGAGATGCATTAAGTCAAAGAGCTCATTTAGGTATATGTACATATGTGCCGTTGTGCTCGACGCTCCATTCTCTCTCTCTCTCTCTCTTCATCTTGCCTGCTCTTGAATACGAATACACAGCGCTCCGAGTTAATGTTGCATTTAGCATATTCCAAATTCAATCTTAATGATTGATTATTGCATATTGTATATTCTATATCATGATTTTCGCATATATATTTTATATTTTTTTCTTCGCAAATGCAACACGTCAAATAATATCGGGGCTCAGTTCTAAAACCAAGAGATTTGCAACTCAACTCTTCCAAAAAGGAAATATTATAATCGAAATGCGCGCGCTCCCTCTCTCTCTCTCCTTCTCCCTCGTTCGCACACAATGCACGCAGTTAATCAAAATCCAAAAATTCGCAAATCAATTTAATATTGCTAATCGAAAAAATATGCATTTTGTTGTGAGTGCGTGTGCGCCCGCCCGCGCTCCACCAAATCCAAGATGGCATGGAACAAAATGCGAGTGCACTCCGTCGCGTACACGACACATGCCGTAGGTTCATTATTTATTCGAACACTTAATTTTATTACATGAAAGAATGTTTTTAATTTATTTGAAGCGTTAATTGCTGTTCTTCGGCTACTCGCCCGCCGGCCAAACACATCGCGCGCCATACACACTGCCGATTTCAAATTCCATGCACACAATCCAACATTTTGCAGCTCGCATATCTCTTTCGTTAATTTATATCTCGTTCTATGTGTCTCGCACTCTGTATCCCCACTTCGGTCGAGAGAGAGAGAGAGAGACGGACAACTTTTGCAACTCTCGCGAATTTTTGAGACAACGAAAGACTTTGATTTCCAAGATTGTGTGTGTGTGTGTTTCATTGGATAATTCGAATCCGGCTTTTCAATATGAACTCATTTCTTTGGATTGGTCACCGTTGCAGTGAATAATATTCACGGAATATCGTCTTTAATGGAGTAATTTTACCTTTGTTTTAATTTAAAACTTTTCAATTACCCATTTGACCAACTACCTCTATGATTAATAGTATTCAATGTATTGTATAAATGTCTAACACGGAATTATGTCTCTATTTCCAATGAATGCCATCGAATAAAAAGAATTCTTCGGTTTCTTTGCCGATCAAAGTGAAACAGAACATTTGTGTCATTTTGAAACTACATGTTTATATGAACAACAGAAATAATGGAACTCGAATGCATAAATAGCGATTCATTTTGATAAGCTGGCAAATATGGATTGAATTTATAATATGAACATTAGAATTGTAGGTACAATGAAGTTTTTGGTCATATGCAAGGATCATCATAACCGAGAATCGGATTGAAATGAAAAATTTCATTTTTGCCTCAATCGCCGGAGAATTTTTTTTTCTTTCAAATTTTCACTCTACAGCATCATCAACACAAGATCATCATTTTCATTACAAAAATCTTTGATCAATATCGAATTGGCTATTTATCATTTTCCTCTTCAATCGATTCTTCCGTAAAACTTTGTCAGTCCAACTCATTTGTGCGCGTAAAATATTTATGAATGCAACCATTTGGAAATGGAATCGTAAACTCTCTTACATATGAAAGAATTCGAAAGGATTTCACATCGACGGAGGAAAAAAGTCGATGCATTTATGATGAGTGACGTTGTCGTTGTGTTTATGATTCACAATGACATAATATCATGTGCATAATAGCTGCCATCATCATATGTTCGCATTAATGGTTAGTTAACTGACAAATGATGTTGTCACCATTGTGTGTAAAATCGTAATCTTTTGAAAATTAAATTCAACTGTATGTTTTAGTGTACGATGTGTGTGTATTTTGAGCTGGATTGTGTTGTAGCAACCATATGGCGAACAAGTTATTAGAAATCGTTCATTTCAGGAAGTAAAACCAAGCTCAAAAATGTGCATTCAACACACATATTTTTGATGCTTATTACACATTAGTTGAATTCATTTCGGATGCATTCGGTACAGCTCTCTCTCTTTCTCTTTCTCTATCTCTATCTCTCTTTCTCTCTTTCGTTCGCTCACTCACTCTTCGCTCAAAATCCATTTTAGAATGAAAAACAAAACGATTTTCAAAGAAAACGACGGTTTTCAAATTGAACAACATGAAAAAATAAAAATAAATAAATGCAATTTTACATTAAAATTGAGGAATTGAATAAAGCATCGAGAGCTTCAGAATGAGAGAACCGAAAACAATATCATCGAAAAATGTAAGGTCGCCTTGGGGGGTTCTAATTCAAGCGCACAAACAAACACATTCATAATTTTATAAAAGCATGTATATGTGCAGTGCATACAATACGAGAGCTCATTCTCGTCGTCGTTGTCGTAGATGGAATTATATGAACTGAATATTGAAAGTTGAAAAGAAAATCGATTTAATTAATATCATAAAATTTGCGGTATTCAAGTGGGAGTATGATGAAAAAGAAACTAATGATAAACATCGATGTAATGGAAAAGGTTGGAACAAAATATCGCAAAAGAAAAGGAGAACTTGTTATTATTGTTAGTCTTTTTTTTTTTATTTCATATATACAATATCTACATATAAAACTGAAATTCTCTCTCTCACTCTCTCGGACTGTCGGAATGATAAATGTGAACGGGAATGAAATTTTCGTTCAAGATAGAAAAGGAAGCAAACCGAACTGAGTATGTGTGTGCGCTTGTGTGTATGTCGGTGTTTCGATGTGTTTGTGTCTGTTCGGCATATTGGCTCTGTAAATGAGAGAGAGCATGTGAAGCTACATGACTCTTGCAGTTGATGTATATTGCATATATTAAAAAACGTTACATCGTTAATGAAAACATGAAATGAATCGAATTGGTCGAATCAAATAAACAAAGCTGATTCAATGTTCGACAAGATATCATTGTTCCATGATGATATTATAACTGTTACGTCGCCAGTAATATTGCAATGGGCGCTATCTTTCTCTTTCTCTCACTCACTCACTCTGTTTCACACATTCATTCATTCACTGTTTTTTTTTTCTTTCAAATTGTTCATTCGTGTCCATCGATTGAACTTTCGATTTGCATTGACCGAAATAATCGCATTTGAATCCTTGTTGGAAATTACTGGTGCCGTTCGCCCAAAATCAGAACCCAACAAGTCAATGGAAAATGCAATCAGAATCTGAATGCGTGGATAGTACCTCTATTCCACAGATCCATGTACGATGCATACTTATATATACATTACTTACATCAATTTCCAACTAAATCAAAGCAAGAAAAAAAAACGAAACGAATAGTTAATTAAATTGTGCTTACCTCTGATTTGAGTTTTCTTAACGACGGCGACACCGGTGCTAATGAAGAGCATGACGATTGCGACAGTTGATCGTCGTCATCATCGTCGTCGTCGTCGTGCTGTGATGATGTTTGATGTGGATTTGGGCTGTCCACATCGGCATCGTCCGTGGATAGTTTACGTTTGGTTGCGATCGATTTTCGTTGTTGGTGCTGATGCAAACGATGCGATTGTAAGTACTGCGACATTGGCTCAAAATCAACAGCGGCGGCGGCGGCGGCAGCAGCAACCGATTGCTCATGCACTTTACGTACGATGCTTTGCTGCATGAGTGGCATTATTTTTGGGGTTGGTGAGGTCGAGACGGATCGTTTGATAGCCTGATGATGATACGTGTCAAATTCATGTACTTCGCATGGCATTGCTGCGCTAAGCATACTCGTTGTTGCATCACCAGCACCTGAACTGCTATTCGTTTCGGCTTCTTCAATACCTTCAGCCATATCAGACTCTCATCCTGATTTGATCTCGCCTGTGTGCGTGTGCGAACGACGAAAATCACACAAAGCCAAAGGGAAAACGCGGACGCAGGGGGAAAAAGCAGAAGAAACATTGTAAAAACATAAACGAAATGATATTTTTTGGTTAATTTGTTTTCAACAACAACATCAAATCTTTAAAGGTTTTTAGACAACGAACCGATTATTATTTATGAGATCGATGTGTGTGCGATCGCGCAAAAAACACATTAGTCAAAACCTAATTTGGATCACCGTTGCTAATTTTTATGATTTGAAAGGAGAGAAGGCAAAACAACCGAGCTACGTTTTCATATTTTAATGCGATTTTATATGTATGTCCAAAGCATTTTGTAAATCGAAAAATATGCGAGTATGTTCTTCGAAATACCAGCAAAACTACACATTCAATTTGATTGATGAAGGTTGAAATCAACGCTATTTACTTCTCATTATCATTTTCGCAAATGTGCGTGCACTAGGCGCAAGGAGATCGCAAACACACACACAGAGAGAGAGAGAGAGAGAGAGAGAGAGTGAGAGAGCGAGAGCAAGAGAAAGAGATCTCTTGAACAGATTTCTCCAAATCAGAGCATGAGAACGCATGATGATGATGATGATAATGATTGAAAATATTCTCAGATGCAATCAACTCTCTGAAATATTTCCAACTCGTTTCATCGTCATCTTCTTCTTCTTCGCTCGTTGCTAAATTATAATTTCAAACTGCAATTAGCGATTTCGAGCAAAAGCTAATGTTGAAATACCGATTAATCGCTGCATTTTTTCGTATGTTGATGTTGTTCTTGCTAGTTTTACACATAAGGATAAAACATGAGAGAACAAATGACTTGGTTTTCGGATGAAACAAAAAAATTTATGCAGAAAAAAACACAGAAACCACTGAACTACTTATATTTTACGATAAACCAATTAATCAAGCAGCTGCGAATTAAGTACAATATTCAAATCAACTCGATTTAAGGCAAACGAAGCTCGATAATTTTATGACTTAGTTTGATGATGCTAATGTTTTTTTTCTCCAAACAACGAGAAAAAAAAACGAACGAAAAAAACCAACGGCAACCATGATTTTGATAAATTGTATGAAAGTTTGACTCTTTTCCTCTTTTCAATCAACCTCAGCTCTACAGCATGTTCGCTGTAATAAATGCTCTGTCTATTGATTCGTGTTTCGTGATTTGGCATTTGAATAATGACCCAAGTGCAGCGTTTTCAATTGCTTCTTCTTTTTATTGGGCAATTTGAAATAGCTACAACATTTTTAGCGTCTTTTCGGTCAATTTTTTAGCTTTCTTTCATCAAATAGTGCACATAGCAATATGATTTTTTCGATCATTACTAATGTTTTCAAGTTAAACACGTAGAAATGTTTTTTGATCGAAAATTTCATTTTGAACTTTTTTTTTATTTAAAATTAAACTTACAAATATTCTTCGAAATAATACTTCCAATGGTTCCAAAGGACATTAATTGCAATATAATAGTATCCATGGATATTTTTATGTTTAAACATTTTGGTTGTTGAAGAAAAAAAAATTCAAGTAAAAACCAACCATTCAAATGTCATGTGGCACAAGCTCCTCTGCCAGAAATTGATTCGTTGCATTTTGTTCTTCAGTCACAAGCCTCCCTCGACTATCCATCCGAAAACAAACAGACGCCGTTCGTTCAAACAGTGCACATCATTCCAGTTGAAATGTCTTAAACGGCTATTATTTGAGCCGAGAGGCTTTTACGCCATGATAAATTGTGACACTTAAAAGCAATACGACTGACATTATGAAATATCCCCACGGATTTTTTTTGTTCTGCGCTCTCTTCTCGTTCTGCTTTCTTTTTCGTTCTTCTTTCGTTGGAAATTAAGTCACTGTGAAAATAGTTGAGTGTTTATGCTGAAAAAGTTGTTTGTTGAAAATGTGATGCAGCGAACAACAAGAACAGCAGTAAAAGAATGTAGAAAGGCGAGTGTAGGCAAATATTGTGTGTGTGTGTGTGTCTGTGCGCGAGCAATTTAGCTAGCTGGCTTGAGTATTGCAGTGCGAGTGTGAGTTGTCACAAGTTGCCATATATGTTCTGTGTGTACAACAAACGAATTTCGCACCTTTACGTGATAATTCATTTAACTTTGTAAGTTGCACACGCTTTTTTTCCTTCTTCTGTCGTTCTGTTGTCATCTTTTTTCTTTCGTCGCCAGAAACGCAGAGAGAGAGAGAGAGAGAGAGGGAGAATGAGAAGAAATCGCGTCGCTTGTCCAACAGTAGTGTTGCACTGAATATTGTTTGGACGTGTTTCTCTCACTCGGTTGTGCTGTTTGTATCCTCACCGAGACTAGGAAATGTATGTTCATATTTGAATAATGCACTCACATTGTGTCTTTTCTGGACGACGCTCTTCTTACGAAAGCGAACACACGAAAAGTCATCCGACCAAGCGACAAAAATTAAAAAGACGGGCGCGCGCGCGCTCACGCAAAATATAAAAACAAACGACGTATAATATACGTCGTATATGGAATAATTCACACTTATTTATACTTGTCCACATAATAAATTATATCGTAAGATGTGCGTGGAGCTACTGCTGCTGTTGTTGCAGCTATTGTGTGTATGTGGTGACTCGGTTTGGCGCGGCCCGGCTCATTACACTCATTTTAATTCAGATGTGGAATATTTTACGAGATGTTTGTGAATGCGAATGCGTTTTACAGCTATGTTAAACGCGTTTAATGGCCCGGCTGCGATGACTCTGCTGTGCGCACTTTTTCGTTTAGCTTAGCTAGTTGTTTGTATCACGATCGCAATGCTTCTTCTTTTTTTTACACATGTATCAAATTCAGAAATCTGTTCGAAATCTATTTCATAAATGCGGAATACAGCATTGTTTTTGTTGCTGCTATTGCAAATTAATATGCTGGTCACTTCCCAATTCTGATTGTTGTTGCGGTATTCATTTTCGGTATTCATTTTTCGGGCAATTTTGTTGAACCACACAATAAATGTCACATCAAATGTGTTTAACTGTTTTTCATTTCATACACATAAACACGATAACGATTAATAAACAAGTGAGGAGTTTGTGAGCTGAAACAAAAAGTTTTGCGAATGTTTTTTTTTCGCACTGGGATTTTTTTTCGCAATGGCTGACGAACACATATCTTCTATTGTTCAAGAAATTTCAAAACGTTTTCATTTTGAGGAAAAAGAATCGAAAAATTTGTTTTTCAGCAAAGCCAAAACTATTCGAGAACCTTCAAAACGGTTATATATATATTTTTCTCTCTCTCTCTCTCTCTCTCTCTCTCTCTCTCTCTCTCTCTCTCTCTCTCTCTCTCTCTCTCTCTCTCTCTCTCTTCAAAACCAAAAGAGTTTTTAACCAAACCAACAATTTAGTAATACAGAATAGAACGTATTTGACACACCAACACCCAAAAATCGCAATATTAAATTAATTCAAAAATTCTCGCGAAAAGAAATAATCGCGCAACAAATTGTCGAATGATTTAAATTTGCTTCGGCGAAATCAGTCATTTGTTTTCGTTATCTGCCCGAAAAAATAGTTGAATTCAAAAAGTCACAAATTAGTTGGCATATAATTGTCAATGGGTTTGATGAGCATGTTTCCAATGAGCAAACGAAGAAGACGAACTGTGTGTGTGTGTGTGTGTGTGTGTGTGTGTGTGTGTGTGTGTGTGTGTGTGTGAGAGAGTGTGACGCTCAAAATTCTGCGAAAATTTCTCTCGTTCCAATAGATTAAATTATTCCGAGTTCGCACTCGAGCGCTCATTTGTGTATGGGTTTGGGTTTTAATAGCGTGCGCAAACTGTTGTTGTTGGTGGCAAAAATGCTGTATGTCTTTAGTCTCATAAAAATAAATTATTAATTCTAAATGAATTCAATTCCGCGAGCATGTGCATACAAACAAATTCAATATCATTTTGTGTTTCAATTTTGTTTTCCTCCTCATCGCGCTTTTGTCTTTTCCATTTATGATTTTATTTCTTGCATATTCGTTATTCCGAGCGAAATAACATTTTCGACAAAATTCATCAGAGTCATAGTCACTTCGATAAATTGAATATATGTCATATTTAATGAGCATCCAAGGTTCAATCAAATCAATAATTTGTGTCTTTCTCTATTTGTGTGTCTATCTCTCCCTCCCTCTCGCTCTCTCCCTCTCTCTCTCTCCCTCTCTCTCTCTCCCTCTCTCTCTCTCCCTCTCTCTCTCTCTCTCTCTCTCTCTCTTTCTATGTCTAGTCGAGAGTGATTCAGAAAAATGGCCCGAGAAATAATTAGCGGGATTTTTTTCCCCATTCGTTCATTTGCTTCTCTTTAAATGAGCATTTAAAATAAGAGCGGCACATTTGATGACGGTGACCTGAGAGCTCTTTTTTATTGCCCTTAATCCAGTGCAAATAAAGCTTTCGCATACATTTTTCTTCGTTTATTTCTTTTTTTATTCTGCCGAAGACAGAAGGCCATTGAAACGATCCCGTTATGCTTTTAATATTTTACAAACATTATTCACGTTCAGATTCGAACGCGCGCGTATTTCGCATTTCAACCGCGCAAATTATTCAATTTTATAGCGATTGTTTCGAACCCGAAGAATAAGAGTACGTTTTGTTTTCTCATTTTCTTTCATTGCACTCATGATTTCTGTGTGTGTGTTTTCGGGCTTACTATAGTCGTCTCAATGTGCATGTGTGTGATTATATAAAACGAGTAAACATATCACACGTTCAAACGATATAAATTTATATGAGCACATTGACATCGACTGAATGTTGCACATACACATGGATACTGAAGACCGCTGCGCCACCGAGAATGATGCAGAGAGAGAGACAGCATGAGTAGATCGTAAGACACAGAAATAAATAGAGTTTCACACACATAGTAATTATTAATTGCTAATTACTAGTTAGGATTTTTTTTTGATGACGTTAAAAAATTACCTCCGTCATTCGTGTTGGCTCTTGCATTTCTAA